CCAGTTTTTTCGACGCGGGATTCGTACGTTGCTCGAAAGATGGGAGAAAGTAGTGGCCAGCGATGGATAATACTTTGAATCATAAATGTATAACCAGTGTTTTACAATAAAGCCTCGAATTTCGGAAAAAGAACGGCGAAAGCAAAGTTGTACACCTAATATATGAAAATGATAATGAAAATAATACTTAGCGAAAATTCGTGAAATCTATCGGAAGAGACATTAAAAAGGTAAAAAAAAAGGCATCAAGTATATTTTGCAGAAAAAAGTTATCAGAAATAATGCCATATAAAAAGAAGTGAAATCAAAATAATATTTCAAGTATCTCTATTTGATAAGTCCCGTAGGACACGGTTCTCTGAACGGCATCTTGAAAGCTTTCTTATGATGTAGACGTCTTTTCGATATCCTTTAAGACAGTGTTGTATGGAATAATTTCTCATAATTATAATATACATACTACATAAAGTACAGATGACATTTGAAATTAATGAGAGAACGAAATGCAGTAGATAGCGTAATGAGAGGCGCGGAAACTGAAAAGGGATTTTTACATCGATAACAAGTGGAAAATTGTAGAAATAAAAAATCGAAAATGAGCAAGATCTCCAGCAGCAGCATACTTGACGCGCCCGTCTTGTTCATAATTCGAGATTCATGCAAATAATTTAATAAATATTTTATTATAATTATAAACTATTTTTCGCAAATTAAAGAAATTTTATATATATTCAAATTGTTATAGTATTGGTATTTCATATTTCATATTTAACAAGTGCACATACAAATATTTTTCTATGAGACAAAGAAAAATGTTTAATACTTCTTAATACTAAATTTTTAACCTTTAAATTTTTTTATTGTAGTAATAAAATTTAAAATTTATTACAGTAATATTAGCAGTCATTATTCGACATGATATTATTGTCTTTAATTATACTTGGTTCTCATAAAAATAGAAATCTAAATATTATCAAGAGACACGGTAGTGTCTCGCACCAAGTAGGCGCGCAGCGCGAGACACGCGTGTCTTTACGTGAGTCAGCGGGTTGCGGGCATCCGAGCATCCGAAATTCTCGGTTTTTTTAATAAAGGCTAGACCGATCGAGTTCTAAATATGAGCTCCATCGACAGTTTGGGTCCGAAATATATAATAAACATTTATTTTACTTCTACGTGTCCCACGAACGGAGATATCGTGATTCGTAATGCGAAATCCGAAATGTCAAAATTTTATCTAAGATACGTCGCCTCAAAAGTCATCTCCTTTTCATATTTTCGACGGTAAATGGCACTCGTTTATTGCTGTCATTTACCGACTTATTTATCTATAGTTTCATTAGCACTGTATTATGTGTCGACATTTCACTGTATAGTTAATTTAATACTTTAATAGGTTACTTTTAAATTAAAAGTGTATAAAAATATAAAACAGGCCGCTTGATGTGTGAACATCATTA